AAAATATTTGTTAGAAATTGCGAGTTTCACAATTTCTAACAAATATTTTAACATTTAATCATTGGTAGATATAGAAGCAATATGAATTGTCAATATTATTATGTGCCAATAAATATAGTATTTTAAAACAATGACAAATTTACACTTTATAGCTAACGTAGGTGGAACATTGAATCATATCGCTAATATTATCTATATATTTTAACAAAGTTATAATTTAAAATTCATTTTGCGAAAAATTTGCTTTATTTCTGACTACGACAAAATCTAACGCAAAAAAGATTATCAAAGTTTCAATTAATATTGATTGCATTGTTGCTCAGAATATTTATGTAACGATTTAGCAAAGCAACATATGAATGATTTATCTAAAAGAACATATTTAATAGTAAGATAAATCGGTCGCGCATGATCGCAACTCATTATTTACAGATTATTGATCGTGCAAAGTTCAAATATGGATTTATTCTTGTCTTATCGATGAAGATAAGAATTTTATGAAAATATGTTTACAATAATGAGAAAACATATTTAATACAGCCTATATAATAGTGATCAATTTTTTTCCTGACAATTCATATTACTTTTTTTCCTTAATTAAATTTTAAAATCAGAATTACAAAAGCTTGAAAAATAATCTCATTCAAAAGAGCAAAAAAGAGGAAGCAATCATTATTCAATAATATGCTAATAAGAACATGTTTTAGATATATACTTATGACGACAACTTTTATAATCATATAGATATACTTGTTATTGAATCATGTATTAAAAATGACTCAGAAGTTATTCTTATGTACGCAGCATGAAATAAATAAATCAATTAATCGTATCAACATCGAACTAGAACAATGTCACATTGCGATTGCAAGCAAAAGGAGAAGCTAATTTTATATATTCAACAAGAAGAAATATTTTTTTTCACTTTGAAAACTGCACGATTACATTAATCATTCCAATTTCAAAATATTAAATTGAAACAACAAATTGTTACAAATCTCTTTCAAAAATTTTGCATTTAGAAAATGTATTACGAATATTTTGTCTTCTTGAAATGAAATTTTTTCACAATGATAATTGTAGTTAAATACAAGCAAAAATTTATTCTGTCAACAATGAAAACGAGAGAATTCAACGAACAAACTCATATATAAAATATTTTCAAGTTTTATAATTCTACAGGAACATTGTAGAATAAAAAGAGTAATGAAACAACAATTTGCTACTTTAATAATTTCATAGAAACAAAAGATAAGGTCCAAATTAGTAATTACAATTTTTTAAAGCTTGCACTCAAAATTCTGATACATTTAACTTTACGAACTCTGTTTATAAATTTTCATTTCTGACATTTTAAATATAAAGCACATACTACATAACCACAAATTTGGAACAATAGCGAAATTAAAATTTGAGGTAACATAAGCGTTATTAAAAAGGGTTATTAAATAACATCTAACTATTCATAACGCCAACTAATTTTGCGACGTACTTGCGAACAATATTATTTATTTTATGCATTTTTAAAACAATTTTAAAATTGTTTCAGGCAATTTAAAATTGATTTTATATCATCTCTAATAGTTTTTATTCAAAAATCTCTAAAAGTTTTTATTAAAAAATTGTGTTTTAGAGAATTAGCTATAATTAAATTTTCAACTATAGTCGCCATGCACCGATAAAAAAGGGAGAGGATCAATTCGGAGAAACTGTTCCATTCAAGGATACTTGTTCTTTCAGAATATTATCTTTCAATATAAATAAAGAATGGCATGTGAACAACGAAATTATTATCCGCAAGCGTAATGATTAAAATTCAGTATATAAAAAATGAATACAATTTTGCATTATGCGAATCAAGAAAAAATGCTTAAAATTATGACATTCATCAAGTTGTGAAAGAATGCAATATTCGGCACACTGATAAGTTTTATTATCTAACGAATACATTTCGCATTTGCGTTCGTTTTGTATTCTAGCAAACACGAAATTATATAATATAAATGTTACATATAATATGTCAGTTATAATTTCTCAACAATGTAACTGTTATATGACGTGTGTATATATAACAATTATGTTGAATGGAAAATTACAATTAACATTTATATTATATGTAACTTAATGTTTGCTGGGTATAGATAATGGGTACTTTCCATTTAATGACAAGTCAATACAAATATCGTTCTATCTTTCTTGGCATTCAATTATTAACAAGAACAAAATGATACTTATGTCGACTTGTGTCACTAAATAGAAAGCACTCAATATCATCGAATGCTAGGCACTGTTGTGATTTATTGTTGATTTTATTTTTTATCATCACGTTATATCGGATCCATATATCTTTATTTTGTTTCGCACATTACTTTCTCTTTATGTTTGATAATATATGATCTTTCTTCCAAACGAGAGTAACTATATCGTGTCTCGAATATTATCTCTATTACTAAATGCCACGAAGTACAAAAGTACTTTATACTTTACGAGACTCTAATAAGGATTCAATTTTCGATTCGAACGCTATGTGTTGTTTTATCCTTGAATGTATCACACGGTCCTCATTTCTCCAACTATTAACAGTTATTTTAAATATATTTCTATCCCGAAAAATTCTCGCACTCTAGATATGTTTTCTAAAAAATTCCTCACGAGACATTTATATATTTTTGTTCATTTTGAGATTTTTGTAATATTTTTGTTGCATACACTATAATATAAAATACTACATAAAATATTTATTTTAATGCTGTGCGACTTAATGTCCATATGCCATTAAAATTCGTTACTTTTTGTTGTCAAGACACATGTTAAATTGTGATGAAACTCAAATAACACAGAATAACATAGAAGAGTATTTTACATGTCAATTATTAAAAGTCGATAATTTTACAATAATGTGTAATGCTTATCATACATCACAGATCACGTTATAAAAGACATATGTCTTTATTATGTTTCAAAATACAACATTAATTTACACAATAAATCGATTTACACAACATTGATTTCTCTGTCTTTCATATTTCTGTAGGAACCTAGCATTTCCACAATGAAAAAAAATTCATATTTATCAAAAGAATCTATCTATGGAAATTCTATTTTTCATATTTATAAAAAAACATATTTTACAAAATCATGATATAGGATAAAATATCATATTATTAACATATTAACAATGTAATTATAATTAATTCAATATATATATATATACATGTATAGCTAATAATATTTTAATTTCTTAAAATATTTTTTTCTAGTCCCTTTTATTACAAACTTCAAAAACAAAATGTAAGAATTTAAATAAAGTTAATTTATCTTTTGATTAATATAATATCACTTAATTACATGATATTAATAATTTCTAAATAATATTATTGTTTCTAACCATATTATTAGTCATTTTATATATAAAATTATTATATGAAAGAATGTAAATACAAATCATCATAAATTATCATAAAATTATTTCAGATCTAATTTTTAGGACAGTAAAAAATTAAATAATTTCAATTTATTAACTAATAAATATTTCGAACTCTTCCAATTTATTTATATCAATTTCAATCATATTAGAATAATATGTTTCTCAAAAAACTTAAAATATAGAGAGATGACAACTTTATTAACTAAAGTTTATTGATTTTTTTCTTGATTTTCGTGATGACATAAAAATAATGATCAATTTTTTTCTGATTAACTAAGATCTTATCATCTTATCTTATCGTCTGCAAACACTGAAAAGTTTATAAACAAATTAGAATTTTGTATAATTTAAATTTTTTGATGACATGTTAATTTAATCATTCGTTTCTATAAGATGATGAAAGTTAAAATTAATTTTTTTATTAATAAAAATTGATTTTTTACGAACTTTTTATATTATTCCGCTATTAATGCCTGAATAAACATAATAAAATACAAATAAATATTACTCATAAATAAAAAATCATTTATAATAATAATGTAACTTTAAGAAAATAAAGTCTAGACGAGAATAAAAATAATGACTTACAATTATGTAATTTTTGACATAACATTCATTCTCTCTTATCTTATGGTCACTATATTTATTCATCCATTTAAAAAAATGTTGCAATATGAAAAATGAAAAATAATAATACGTTATTATATGCATTTTTTTAGAGAATGATATAGACAATGATTCTATAGAGAAGATAAAAATTATTATTATTTATTATAATTATTATATTTATTGTAATTGTAATTTGTTATAAAGGACCACGAAATTATATATGGTATACTCAAAATATATTTCTTATTTATATATTTCTTATATATTTCTTATTATATTATTTGCTGTTGTTAACACATTAAAGTTAAATTATAATAAATTATCTATTATCATTAAAAACTTCTAATAAGTTTGTGTATCGAATCATTATCTGTTATTAGCTTGGAAATATTAGTAAATCGTTATCTTATCTCTCTTTTCTCTTCGAATCAGCCAAAAAATGATAAAACTTCATTCTATAACTTTGCGAAAAATAATCATAGAATATAATATTTTAACAAGTAAGTTTTAAAGCTGGAATTCTTAGTTTTTAAATGCTGATTTTTTTGCAGACTATTTAGGTGACATCACTTACAAATCGCAAAAAAAATCAATTTCAAAATCATGCATATCAAAGAAAAAATTTTCCAAAAAGGCGTTATAATAATAATTTATCAGATGTTCTATTAAAATTTAAATAAAATAAAATTTCTATATAAACATTTAAATTTTGATTAACAATAATATGGACATTTGATTAGTAATATGATTTTTTTATTACTATTAATTTAAAACGCTCAATGCAGAGCATTCTATTTTTTACAGCAATCACAATACCATACATTGATTCCATGGTTTATTTTTTTCCCATATTAACAATTGATTCTCCTTAATTGATCCTTTTTTTAATTAGTAATTGACTCATAACACAGCTTGCATAGGTATGTTAACAAATTATTATGCAAAAACATAATTCCATATCATCAAAGGATATGGTTCCCAATTTAGCACAGTCACTAATTTAATTCGCATAATTAGATTGATAACATAGCACAAAAATTAATGAGAATTAATGAAAATAAACAAGAAATAAAAAATCTTGTGTAGAATATTTTATAGTTTCGCAATAAAATATATTCTATGTGTGTATTGGAACTAAATATGCGATCTAATGTGCGGATAAAAAAATGGAGGAAAAACTAATATATGTTTGTATCACAATTAATATACAAAATTATACAAAATTATGCACAATGTTATTTCACGAAATTGTTTATTTTAATTTAATCAATTATATAATTAAACTTATGGCATCACTGCGGTAATATATAGCTTGTCTGAATTTATACTGCAGAAATAAGATATTTGAAAACTCAATATTTCCGGATCTAGATTGAATAAACTTGCGAAAGTATATGTTGATTTTCACTAAGAAAATCATAGAATATTTAAATGCTTTCCAATATCTCTGACGTTCGCTCTCGTAAATTTTGTGAGGATTACTTACAATATGCATACACACAATATTCGGCATGTATACGCAACATATATATATATATATATACGGTATGTAGATATATGTGTCGTACTGTGCGAACTTTTCACAAAACAGGTGGCAACAATGCTGGAGAAGACCATAAGCGATAGAAACGAGAGAAAGGAGGGAAAAGAGCACACGCGTCCGATCAAAACAGTGAGGTAAAAGGCCATTGCACGTGAAAAATTTTAGTAATAATCGTAAGCGATGGGATGGTTGTAAGCGAATTGACTACAATCGATTATTTTTAGACTGTAAGAAGAATAATTGATTCTGGTTGGTCAATTTGTTTACGATCTTACGAATATGACTAAAATTCTTTCATATGCAATGGCCTTAAGAGACGAAAGGAAAAAGATAAAATCAATTCAATAGTAGTACACATGTAAACATGTACTTGTGAGACATAATACAAATTTATAAGAAATAAATTAAAATTAATTCAAAATAATATGCTGAGAAAAATATAAAGTAACAAAAATATACAAAAAAACAAGAAAGGAAGAAAGAGAAATAGAGAAACACGAAATAGAAAAAGCAAAGACAAATACGAGCATAACATAAGGATGAGAAATATATACATGAGTGACGAAAAAATATAACAAAGAATGAAGTAGATCGCAAGCAGTAGTCTAATGTAACAAAGTACGCGATGTATTCACCTTAGGCCTGTAAAACCATTTTCTGATGGACTCCATCATATCGTAACACAGCTGACGTCATCGGAGTATTCTAACGGAAATTCGTCACTGCGCTTGTCGCGATCAAGTCACAAACGATGTCAATGTCGACATGTTTACTCCGGATTTCTAGTCTGGAGATTTGATCAATGTATCGGCGATGTCGAACGATACGGGTAATAATGATGATACTAACTATGACAATGATGACAACAATGATAATAATAATGATAGTAACATCCACACGTTCGTACGAGTATCGATGATACTGTGATAGTGACAACAACAGTTATGACAATGTAATGATGATGCGATAATGACAATGACGGCGACGACGGCGACGACGGCGACGACGGCGACGACGGCGACGACGGCGACGACGATGATGACAACGACGATGACAATGATGACAACGATGACAACGACAACAACAACAACGACGACAACGACAACGACGACGACGACGACGACGACGACGATGAGGACGACGACGACTTCCGCGCAACGACCAGCCTATTCACTCTTTATTCACTCGCGTGTCGATTTAAACGCGCGTTCGTAAAACTAAAGAGATAAGATAAGCTTGAAATACAGTCTGTAAAAAGACGTAACTGTCTAATCCATATTCATCGATGCAATCGCTGTACTCACCTAGCGGTCCAATCTATAAACTATATAACTGGCGGTAGATACGAAATTACAAGAATTTGTCTTTAATTTTGTAAATACAAGTATAATAATTATCAGAAAAATTTAATATAATTATTATATTTGTGTTTACAAAATTAAGGACAAGTCTTGTAATATCCTAACAAAATTACCTTTTAAAAAAGGTAAAAAATAACGCCAAGTTCACACGCCTCTTTTCTTGTTTATGTAAAAGAAAGAAAGAATTTTATATAAAAATTTCTATAAAAGTCTTTTTAATAATAAATTTCATATTGATACAAAAGATGTGATATGAAAAATTAGTGCCAAATTCTAATTTAATAAAATAAAAAGAACTTTACAGTGAAATATATTTGATAACTATAAGTTGATATCAGTTTTCTATAAAAAATCAATGCAATTGGCTACCTCTGTTTATTGGCTACCTCTATTTAATCGATAAGTTTTACATTTTTGGTTTTGCTATATTTCCACTTTGATATGGAATTGTGCGATGCATTGAAAAAGAAAGTAAAACGAGCTTCTCAGAAGCTTGGTTTACTGATGAGCGATTTAAATTTTGGATACGAAAATTACCTTTTGATGATAATCTTTTTCATTGTATCGTATGCGCTAAAAATTTTTCGTGTGGTCCAATATCGAATATTATAAGACATGCAGAATCTGCGCATAAAGAAATATTGATAAAGATGTATCATCATGTGATAATGATAACGTAACTTTTGAACAAAAATCATTACATCCGAATGTATTTAAGTAACAATGGTTAGAGATCGCACAATTTAAGCTATGGCTACGCGAAGTGCAATGTGATGTAAATTCATTTGCATCATGTAAGATTTGCAAAAAAACTATTGCTGGCGGTTTATCGCAAATCTACCGTCACGCCGAATCTAAAATACATAAGAATAATTGCGAAAAGTTTGATAAAATAACAAGCAAATTGAATGAAGATTGTAACATAGAAATTAGCGAACTGTTTTCGTCCTTTGAGGAGTGGAAAAAATTCGCGGAGATTCAATATGCTGCTTTAATCGCTGAAAAAAATATTTCACACGAAAATGCAAAAATAATATTCGATTTTTTTAAAGACGTAGGCAAAAATCCTAACGTTTTGACAAGTTTTGACTATGAGTCGACAAAAATGTACAAATATAATTACGAATGTTTTATATCCAGTTGAGACGGTTCGTGTGATAGAAAATATTCAAAATACAAAATTTTCTATTTTTATAGATGAATCAACAGATATTTCTAGTGAAAAATGGATGACATTTCACGTTTGATACATTCATATTGAAACATTAGAAGTTCATTCGCAACTAGTAAAATTAATTGATATCGATGCAACAGATTGCAGCGCGGAAAAATTATTTAATGCATTTAAATATGAAATGTGGAAACTACAAATATTTTTTTCAAATATTGTTGCCTTATCATGCGTCCGTTATGGTCGGAAAACATTTATCTTTCAAGAAAAAATTGAAAGAGATGTGCAATAATGTATTGACATTATCATGTCCATGCCATTCTGCTTCATTAGCTTCGCATGCCGCGTGTGCTAAGATACCTCAAGCTTGTGAGGAATTCTTGAAAAGAATTACAAGCTTTATAACTTATAGTCTCAAGCGATGGTCTATTTTCATCGAATTAAGTGAATGTTTTGAAGAAAGGACTCACAAAATTGTAAAGTTATGTAATACACAATAGCTTTCTCACCACGCGTGTATCGACAGACTTCTTCAATCTTGGAATACGATACAACATTTTTTGAATGAAATGATCGTGAGCGAGAAAGGTACATCTGCAGAAAATTTGTTACGTGTCATGCAGAATGTAGATACAAAAGCATATTCTTAAAATATACATTACATTTTTTAAATGTATTTAATGCATTTTTCCAAGCTGAGGAAACGAGGATACATCTGTTACAGTCAAAATCAATTGATTTTTTAAAAGAAATTTGTACAAATTTTATAAAACCAGAAATTTTGAAACATTTGCCAAATATAACATTTTGTAAGACAAAAAATCATAAATCTTTAAATAATGTGATCTTTAAATGATATTTTTTTAGGATCGGAATGCGAAGAATATCTTTATCAATTGATAGAGGATGGACACGCAAACATGGTTGCGACTGTTCGAGAGAACTGTTTGCGATTTTACATAACTGCAGTCAAAAGAATTTTCAAAAGATTAAGTGATACATTTTTATCAAAATTACAAATTCTTTTACCACATATAGCTTTATTGAATACTGATAGGGAAACATCATTTCATGATCTTTCTTTTATTGCTGCAAGAATGGGTAGTTTTGACGAAAACGATTTAAAGAAAGAATGGTTTGCCTTAAATTCAGATTTTTCAGTAACAGAGAAACAAGATTTGTTAAAATTAGATTTTGATAATATGTGGAAAGAGATTTTACAAAGACAATATTTAAATAATGAAATCAAATATCCCAATTTAAGAGTCTTCTTCTATTAAATTCTATTAGAGCACTCCCAAATTCAAATGCAGCTCCGGAAAGAATATTTTCCCTTTTAACAGATGTTAAAACAAAAAACAAAACAGATTATCGTCGACTACTGTAAATGCCATTTGTGTATATTGAAGTCAGCATTAAAAGCAAGAAACAAAACAATTTTAAACATGAAGTTCGATGAAAAGCATTTATCTTTTATGTCGGCAGATAAATTATATACTTACTTCTTCGGTAAAGCAAAAGAAAAGTTTTTACCTACATGCTGCAGACGATATTGCTGGTCCATCTTCGTCTAATATGCAACAATAAAAAGGATAATTGCTTGTGTTTCATCAAATGCATTAAAGCATTAAGTTAAATAAATAAGTAAATACTAATAATAATAATAAATAATAATAATAGCAATAAGTTTAAATAAATAATATACAATATCTATAAAGAACATCGCATCTGCACAAGACTTTATCTTGTTTTAATGTGCACATATTACACTTGTTACAAAGATAAATGTGTAAAAAATATAATAAAAAATAAAATTAAAAAATATAAAAAATACAAAAAAGTACAAAAAAATACAAAAATACAAAAAATATAATAAAATTTTTTATTTTTCTAATTTTTCTATCTTCTATTATATCTATTCTTTATTATTTTCTAATTACAGATATAACTCTTTCTAATAACAAATATAATTTCCATTTTTTTTAAATATAACGAACATTGTATGTCAATGTTATTAATATAATGCTTACAACTGTAAGCGCTAAAGCGAACGTAGCCTATATCGTAAAGCGCGATTATTTCGATGATCAGAAATCAGAATCGCCGAATGAGCAAGCTAGTTGTGAGAATAAAGAGCGAAAGAGTCAGGATTAGGTTTACTGGCCTCTATTACCCGATGGCAGCCAAACTTCCGAACTCTCACGGACATGCTTTCTCCTTGTGTGCGGCATCCCTGACTCTCTCGTGACTCTCGTCTTGAATCTAGCATCACTGCCTCAGCGTACTTGCGTCGGTGTGAAATCGCCGAGTATCCCTTCGAGGCGCCACGTTGTGGACGGGATCGAATTTTATCTTGCGTAGCCGCCAGGCGATTGGCTGGTTGCGGAATCCGGTTCTGGTGTCGCTGGCTTAATGAAGAGCGAGAGGGTACGCTCCGGCGTCGGCGGGCATTCGGGAACCATGTTATCGCTCTCCGGTGAATCCTCCGGTCGAAAAGTGGTCGCTGCGGGCTGTTCTCTGGTGATAACGCCGAGCCGAAGAGTTCCTCCAGGCATCTCCTAGAGCTGAATACTCGGCGCTTTCGCCTGCCGAGCTGTAGCGATGCTGTCCCCGAATCCGGCACCAGCGATAGTATATAATTATTATTCAAGTCCGGTGCTGTGGGCCGTGCGGCGATAGCGGAGTTCGCCCGAACACGGGCGAATAGTGCGGCGCTTAGGCCACGAGGGATCCTGCGGGACGAAATGGTGGCGCCGTGGCGTTGACGGTCGCCGAGGATAGCGTGGCGTTTACTGCCGTGGGGAGGAACGCCCGAAAACGGGCGGTTGGCGCAGTGTTGACTGCTGCGGAAAGTCGCCCGGAAACGAGCGATTGAAGCAGTGTTAACTGTTGCAAGGAGTCCCATGGCATTGAAACGGCGTTTACGGCTGCTGAGAGAGGCTTCCTGGAACAGCGTTTACTACTGCGAAGGCTGGCTTGATCGAGCTTCTCCAATTGAATAGGTTCTGGCGACTGCGGTGAAGAGCGATGCTGAGTGCTGCTCTTTATATACCCGCGACGGAGTAAGTTAAACGCGAGAAAATGGTCTCGCGCTTCGCCACCACGTGGCGGGCCCGCGAATCGTTATCATAACTGGGCATAACGTGTTATCGCCGTGGAGCAGTGATGCTAGATTCAAGATGAGAATCACGAGAGAGTCAGGGAGTGGGGATGCCGCACCAAGGAGAAAGCATGTCCGTGAGAGTTTGGAAGTTCGGCCGGCGTCGGATAATAGACGAGGCTAGCAAACCTAGTCCTGACTCTTTCGCTCTTTAGTCTCACAACTAGCCTGCTCGTTCGGCGATTCTGATTTCTGACCATCGAAACGATTGCGCTTTACGATATAGGCTACGTACGCTTTAGTGCTTACAATTGTAGCATTATATTAATAACATTGACATACAATGTTCGTTACATTAAAAAAAAATGGAAATTATATTTGTTATTAGAAAGAGTTATATCTGTAATTAGAAAATAATAAAGAATAGATATAATAGAAGATAGAAAAATTAGAAAAATAAAAAATTTTATTATATTTTTTTGTATTTTTGTATTTTTTGTACTTTTTTGTATTTTTTATATTTTTTAATTTTATTTTTTATTATATTTTTTACACATTTATCTTTGTAACAAATATAATATGTGCATTAAAACAAGATAAAGTCTTGTGCAGATGC